AGACCGTATCCACCAATCGTGGCTGATTGTAACCATTTAAGCTAATGTGTCAATTTCCACCAGCTTCTTTCCATTCCATGGATAAATCAGGCTCAGGTTAACCTGTGCTGGAAAGGAAGTCGGACACAGACACAAAATAGAACATCCGGCTTCTTTTTAAAATAAAACACTACGTGCCTGCTTTATCTCTGTTGTGGGTAAAATGAAAGATATACTAAATGATAGAAATTTTAGTCCATCTGATCATTACTTTTTCATTTCCTTGAAGTAATAATTATCATATTTTGCACATTTTGCACTCTGCCTTAGGGTATCGGTCTGTTTGTATTTCCATGACGTAATAATTATAAATGTTCACTCAGTGATCGACTCGTCCGAGGTCTTGCGACAAACAAGCGGCTGCTGAAAGAGAGTAGGTAAGTTGTGTTTAGTCTCTTTGCTAAAGAAATGAGGCAAAGTTAAAAAGATGTTTGGTGGCTAGTGCTATGGCTAGGACCCTATATGTACTGTTGATAAAGTTAGGTGCTGTTCTGAGCATTATTCGTGGCTATAGAGTGGCGTTTTGGTTGAAGTTTGTTTATGGCTCCTCAGACCGCTGTGTATTGCTATCTGTGGTTGTTACTAAAGTTGGTATAACTAGAGACATTCACCTCTTGAGGGGGTGTCTAACTCGGTGTTACGGTGTGTTTGACTCTAACTTAATTTTACGCTGAAATATCCCTTTAACAACAGCCAAGAGGACATGTTGATGTACTTGCAGAGGTGAAGCAAATCCTTACAATGTCGTCAACCTCGGCAATGTTTGCTGTAACCAAACAGAAACAGCAGGTACCCCTCCACTCTTTTATTTATTGATGTGTTTTGGGCACAAGTTATTTGCATGACTAAAGCAAGTCAACATTTAACATACAGGCCTCTAATTTTTGCTCAAATTAAGCAAGTTAATGATTTAAGTCACAAACACGACATTGAACATGACCTTACTCACAGTTGTTAACTTAATGTTTCTTTTTGTTAAAATCAGTTAAACCCACACAAACACGTGGAAAAACAAGGTCCAGGTTGACAAATACCAAAGTTCCCCTCCAATACTTTGTGCTTACTCGCTTAGTATGCCACCATACAATTTTCAAGTGTCATTCCCATCGCCTGACACAAACCTGCATCGAGTCACAACTTTTCATTGGCACTGGCTCGAATATAAAGCTCTGTGTTCATTCAGAGGTGACTGTGCACCCTCCTCTGCACAGGGTGAGTCACTGTGATATGATTGAAGTCCTCTTATACAACATCCAGGGCTGCTCCGGAGTGTCTGAAGTATAATTTAATAACCCCTGACAAGTATATGCAGCCATGTATAATGTGTAGAGGTAGCACACACACACACACATACATGCACTCACACATACTAACATGTACACACACACACACATACACACACACACACACACAGCAGGTTGGAATGTGGACTGGGGCTGTGTGTCAAACACTGGGATGATCGTTCAGGGGTCACTCAGGGGTTTAAGTCTAGAGGTGGCGCCCTGCTGTCCTGACACGTTAACATTCACTTTCACGTACACTGCTCTGTGTGTGTGTGTCTGTGTGTGTGTGTGTGTGTGCGTGTGTGTGTGTGTGTATACATCTGCAGAGTGAGATAAGTGTGAAATCATACGTGTGCACGCTACGGCAGACACAGGAAGGGACATGGAAAATGCTGACATGATTTAAGTCTGATTCTGTCACGCACACACTCACACACACACACACACACACACACACACACACACACACACACACACACACACACACACACACTCACACACGTGCACACACACACACACACACTGAAGTGGAGGTCTGCTGCATGCCAAACATACATAGCCCTGGACAAAGGTAACAGAGGGACAGAGGTAACGTGGAGGTTAGCGCATGGATCGAGAGAAGAAAGAGACAGATGGATGAAGAACAGAGGGAGACAATCTGGAGGAGAGAGGAAGAGTGGAGAGGATGGAGGAGAAGAAAACAAGTGAAGAAAAAAAAGGTGCAGACACAGGCGACAGACAAGGAGACCTTTTTTAAAAAAGTGTCTTCTGAGTGATTCACTGAAAACAAGACCAACAGTTGACTGATCTGAAGGACGGCGGCTGCATCTCTGATGAGTTCAGAAGCTGTTTTAAGATAAGAGAGTCATGATTAGCAGTTTCTCCGTCCCTCTGATGGACCCTCGCAGTTTCTCTTCAGTTGGTTTGGCCTTGCTCACTTTGCTTCAGGAGTTGTTTTCATGTCTCAGTTTCCATTGCTTCAAGCATCCTACAGTCAGATCAGACTAGACTCACCACCAGCAGCCCTGCATGCCTCCTGTATAGACGGTATACGTCTTAAATGAAACAACACTGAACCTAAGGTCATACTGCAATGCATTTCTTTCATCTGGTTCGTACGGTGGCTGAGAACTGCCACTGCTGTACATAAAAAAGAATGCAAAAAAAAAGAAGTCACGACGGAGGTTACCGATCAAAAAAAAAAAGAAACCAAAGCCTCCTGCAAATAAAAAAAATTCAGGGGGAATTTCAGAGAAGTGAAGCTTCAGGATTGTGAGTCCATGATTCTTTTAGATTTTCAAAATTCTGATTCACCAGCTGAGTTAGTTTGACTGTTTTATTCTTGGGGTAAAAGAGGAGGAGAGGGGATGAAAAGAGGGGTCTGTGGGAGGAAGGATGGCAGGGAGGAGTGATGAGAGGTGAATAAAACGTGTCTTCATTAAATAGCTGCTAGTTAGAAGATCTGAGGCCTGCTGTGTTTATGACTCCGCCTCCAGCCTCCTGTCCTCCTCTGCCTCCGCTCCTTCAAAGCTCCTCACATGTGTGAAGGGCGTAAAATCACTTCCTGGGTTGGACTGTTTTTGACCCCGTCATCTCTGTGGGAGGTGGGGCTGAAGGCCGAGCCTTTCACAGGGCTAAAAGGTGACCGCTGTCTCCCTGAGACAGACGTGGACAGATGAGAGGAGGAGGAGGAGGAGGAGGCTGTTGATGGTTCCAGCTGGAAAACCAGTCAGAGAGGATACCCAGAGTTCAGGAAGGAGACTGAGCAGCTCTAACCTGAGAGATTTGATTATATGGACCAACGTGGCAAATGGTGCAAAAGTGACAAAATGAGAAACACTGAATAAGGAACGACTCATGGAAGAAACAAAATTTACACGACTGTGGTCATGATGTGACATGAATAAGATAAGATATTCCCTTATTAGTCCCACAGGGGGAAGAATACAGTTATAGTGAGAAAATAATCATTATAATACAAAAACAAACTCTTTAAGGTCTAGAATAAAACTTTTATTTTAAAGAAATATGACAGATGTTACCAGAAGGAGCTGTGATGTTATTTGTACAAATAAAAGTGATTTGACTAAAATTAAGTCCAAATGCTACAATACTAATAAAAATAACTTGTTACCAAAATTAAGTTGTGTTGTAACTGGAATAACTTGAATCAAGAAGTTATTTTATCAGAATAAAATCTTATTTCCCAGAATTAGGCCTCCATGATGCTATAATAAATTTGTAGTATCGCAGAAATAGAGTCGTAATGTTACTCATATAAAGTAAATATGTTGTTAGAATAACACATTATTCTTCACAAGATGTAATGTATAAAAAACTAAGTGCTAATATTACCAGAATACGTTGTTTTGTAAGAAGAATAAAACTTTTCCAGGACTCTGTTGTGTTTCCAGAATAAAGTTGTTGTAATATCAGTGTAAAAATAAAAAGAGCTTTATGTTACAAAGATGGAGTAGATATGAAAGTGAATATCACCCCCATATTACTGGAATAAAGTTATGTTACCAGAATATACTCATTATGTCATTGGAAGTTTGAAGTTTGAAGTTTATGGAATAGAGATGTTTCTGGAATAACATCATAAATCCAGAAGACAGTTTTGATGTTGCTGTTAAATAGTTGAAATATATCAGAATAAAGTCATTATTTGATTGAAACAAGTTGTAATGATGTTAGAATAAAGTAGTTATGTTACTTGAATACAGGCATTGTGTCATAAGAATCAATTTGTAATATAAATAAGAATTAAGTCATTATATCACAAAAAAAATGTTATGACGGTACCAGAATAAAGTCGTTTATATTAAAGAATTAAGTGTTGTTTTTATCCAGTATGAAACTGTTTTGAGAATTAAGTTGAAACTAAACCTAAATAAAGTTGTTATGTGGATGCTTAAGCATGGCATTGTTAAATTGGAAGAATAAAGTTGTGTAGTAACCTCGATAAAGTTGGTAGAATAAAGTTACTGGGAGTCGTGATGTTTGTGAGGTGCACAGATAATGTTATTAGACTAAAGTAATGTCACAAGAATGAGGTTGTTATTTTATGAGAATAATATGATGTGATGATATCGTAATGTTATATTAATGAAGCCATTATGGTTTGAGAATTAAGCTGTAATGTTACAAGAAAAGAGTGTATTTTATATTTCGTTTATAATTCCTCTTCTTTGATCACTTTTGGTAACCCTTTTAACCCACTCCAGCAGCAGTTAATATAACAAACACACTCACACACACACACACTCTGTCACACACACACGCATACACACCTCCACCCCGTGACCTGCAGTCAACCTCTGTCCTGCTAACCTATATTTATTGGCCATTAAAGGCCAATAGTTCACTCCCACTCTGACAACTCTGATTTATTGGCAGATTCATCACACCGTGTTACTACAGCACACACACTTACTGCCTGCTGCAGGTACACAAGACAGGGACGGGTGTGAGGACAGATGGATGGATGTGTGGTGGGATGACGGACGGATGAGTGGAGAGGACAGAGATGAGGTGACGCAGTGAAATAACAGATTTATTAGCATTAATAAACATGAATGACACGTGTATTCATAGTAATAAAGCTGCAATAACCTTAGATACTTCCTTATCATTTACAGGTGTGTGTGTGTGTGTGTGTGTGTGTGTGTGTGTGTGTGTGTGTGTGTGTGTGTGTGTGTGTGTGTGTGTGTGTGTGTGTGTGTGTGTGTGTGTGTGCTATAAGAGGTGAGCCATTAGGCAGGAGTCAGGTCGTCTGGTTGCTTCTATTGTTCTCTACTTCCTGATGACCCTAAAGGAGGTGTGTAGGGATGAGGTGGCAGCGGAGACAGAGGAGGGACCCCAAACCCCCAAATCCACCTGGCAGTTTTCTGAACTAGGCCAATTTAAACAACAAAACATGATGTAGTGCATGTATCAGGGTTACATCCAAACTCTTGGTCCTGACTCATTTCCTGTCCTCTTCTGCTACTCAGTATTTAAAGGGTTATTCCGTAAAATTAATTTAGGGTCAAACACACTGTAGCACCGAGTTAGACACCCCCTGGAGAGATGAATGTTGCTGACTGCTTGCTTCTCTTGTTAAACCAACTTTAGTAACGACCGCACCACTCTATAGCCACAAATAATGCTCAGAACAGCACCTAACTTCATCAACAGTACATTATAGGGTCCCAGCCACGTCACTAGCTTCCAAACATCTTTTTAAGTTTGTCTAATTTTTTTAGCAAAGAGACTAAACACAACTCACCTACTCTCTTCCAGCAGCTGCTTGTTTGTAGCAAGACCTCAGGCCAATCCATTACAGACAACAGCGGGGTGATGCAGCTCAAGGAATAACATTTATGATCATTTCTTTATCATTTCCTTGAAGTAATAATCATCATATTAATCATTTTGCACTGCAGACATGGTAGGTCTTCTGCCTCAGCATTCTAATTGCATTCCTATGAAGAAATGATCATAAATGTTCTTCCTTGAGCTGTGACACCCCACAGTTGTCCGTAATGGACTGGCCTGAGGTCTCGCTACAAACAAGCGGCTGCTGGAAGAGAGTAGGTGAGTTGTGTTTAGTCGCTTTGCTAAAGAAATCAGGCAAAGTTAAAAAGATGTTTGGTGGCTTGTTCTATGGCTAGGACCCTATATGTACTGTTGATGAAGTTAGGTGCTGTTCTGAGCATTATTTGTGGCTATAGAGTGGCTTTTTGGTTGAGGTTTGCACATGGAGAGGTAGACCGCTGTGTGTAACTATCGTGTGGTTGTAACTAAAGTTGGTATAACTAGAGAAGCAAGCGGTCGGTAACATTCATCTCTCGAGTCGGTGTCTAACTTGGTGTTACGGTGTGTTTGACCCTTAATTAATTTTATGCCGGAATATCCCTTTAAAGATCTTTTCCCTCTCTCCTTCATGTAGATTGTATATCTGAACTTCTACAGAGTATCATCAGTTTGTACCTGATAGAAACAGAGAAACACACAGAGAGCCAGGCGTGCTGCTACTTTGGGGTGAGGAGGTGAGTGAGGTTCATGTGCAGGCCAGATGACAGTATGAGGTTTTAGGGGGAGGGGGCTGTCATAGCGTCTGCCTTTTAGTTGTGTCAGCAAAAGCCTCTCTGCACAAATGCTGATTTCAGTTAAAGAGCTCGTGTGGGCTATAAAGTTTATTCCTCTTGTCTCAACTGAACTATTACTCCTGCTAACATGCTTCCCCATTGTGTTGTCGACTCTTTTAGCTCCTCCCAGGAGGTAACATTAGTCTCTGGTATTAAGTCTTTTACAAATACTTTTCAAACACTGCATCATTTTAAGTTTCTGAAAATAGAGCGAGTTATGTCTGTCTGTTGACATTTCCAATCCTGCAAACACGCTGCCACTGCTGTCTCTCACAGACAGAGAAGACTTTCAGGTAACAACAATGCAAACACATTTTCAGTATCAACAGACGGGAAAACAAGACGTAGAATAACTCTCAGGGATGACGGACACATCGAAACTTGAAAATGCCACTCAGAATAGAGAGATTTGGGATTTTTGCTGCTAGGTACAAAAGTCATAGGACTGGGTTTGGACCCCTGGTAGTTTGTGAATTACCAAAAGTCAGTGTTTGCACATTCATACTTGTGGTCCACATCCTGTAACTTTTCCCAGAGAAGATGAAATAATAATAAAAAATTTAAAAAAGGGAAAAAAAAAAACGTCAGGCACAGTATGAAATTCATACCTTTCTGTCCTATGAAGTTCATAAACTACCATGCAATAAAGCAGTTTCATCTCCAATTTACCCCCCTTTATTTTCAACAATTAGGCACTGAGTTGAAAGTGTGATACATTCAGTAGTTGTCTAGAAACAATGAATAAAGATGTGTGCTCTGTTTTAATTCCATTCAAAGAAGGAACAAAGTGCACCTTGTATTTTGCACACACACTGTTGAATCAGCAAGGACAAAGAACCCTCTTCAAATGAAAATTACCTTAACTGCTTGCTGCAAAGCATGTCATTTATTTTAACGCTCTTTCAGCTTTTACAGCATCTGTAGAGAAATGATTGAGCTGAATTTGTACCCCAAATGCCAACCAAACCTTTAATTACAGTGTCCGACAAAGCCTCAATTATTTTCCAACAGTGAAGAGGCTCAAAAAAGCTGCAGACGGCTGCAGGAGGAGCGTACTTCAAACTCTTTTTACCTATTTCAAATGACTGTCATGGATTCATATTATTAGAAGATCCAAAAGAGGAAAAAAAAATATGACAGACATGATTGATCATTAAAATTCGATGAAAAGCAAAGACATCCTTCACAACTGTGACAAACCATCAGAGGTCCTCAGGTCATACTTATCTTGTGTGGATAGAAAAAACCTGAACACATTTCTCATCTGTATTTATGCTCAGGACAAGCATAAATCAATATATCATAAATTTAAACTTTTAAATTAACTGTAAAAAGATGTTTCTAAGCCATTACTCCTCAAGTGGTTGAAATAAAAAAAAGTAATTTCAACTAACTAATTTGTCTAAAGGTCAGAAAATGAAAAGAAGAACAGTTCAAATTTAACATCATGCATTTGACACAACAAATCCTTCAATCACTGAGTCTGACAGTAAACTGTGTCGCATTTGTCTGCAGAGGTTTGGTCCTCTTTGTCTTTGTGGGTTAATGCTGAAAAACCTGTGTTGGTTACACATCGCTCCACTCAAGGGGTCACATCCTACATAAGCCGACATATCTGGATCAAATCTGGATGCTTGGAAGATGCCATCTGTCAGCTGTGTTTGTTTACATCCTTATAAGAGAGCTTTATGGTGCCCCAGCGAGAGGTAGGCGGCTGCAGTTCAAACACACAGATGATATAAAGAGGTGCAACACCATGGTAACAGAAGCTTATCTATTAACTATTAACTTATCTATTAACTTTGTAATCGCACCAGTCAGATGCTCCTGTCTTCACTCAAGTATTATCTTGTACAATTTCTTGCGCTGCCATCTTGTCATCTGTACAGTATGCAGTTTGGTCTGAGCCACATAAATAATTAAATGAATGAAAAATGAAAACAGACCAATATCCTAAAGATCTGGTTCAGCTAAAACCAGCCTCTCTACCTCACCTACGTCATCACTCTACAAAGGAGTAGAGATAGTCTTTGAAGATGACAATGAAAGATGGCTGCCGGCAGAGCAAACACCAGGACTATGATTGATCATGGGAATACACAGAGACAACAGAAAGTGAAACTGGGTGATGAATGTGCTCGCACAAATGTGCATTTGTGGGTGTGGGTGGGTGGCTTTGCATATATGTGTGAGTGTGTGTGTGACTGTGTGTGTGTGTGTGTGTGTGTGTGTGTGTGTGTGTGTGTGTGTGTGTGTGTGTGTGTGTGTGTGTGTGTGTGTGTGTGAGGGACTTGGAAACCTGCCCAGCTCTCCCTGCTCTGACCTGCACTCCTCTATGCAGGTGTATCCAGATTGTGTGGTGAGGCTATGAGGACAGGTCACCCCAGACGGCTTGGTGGTTTGGTCTCACTTCCTTGAGTCGACAAATGTGAAAACTAAATTTAAGGAATACAATTGTCATATTTTTTCAAATTTTCAATATCTACCACAATGTTAATATCGACAGGTCTAAGCTGTGTCCTAAAAAACAGCAGGTCCTTTTATTCCTCTCATTGTTCATAGCTTGCAGATCAAAACAGGTTTCGGAGTTGAGTTTGTTAATTTCACTCCATAATCCCTTATGAAACACAATAATTATATCGCTCAGGGTGCAATATTAGAAAAAACTAGCTCTGCCCTGACTCTCACCTCCTGCTCTGTGTACTGCTGATGTACCGTAGCATGGACTGATCCTGATTCTGTTTATTCATTCAGCCTGTGCTCTGTGGTTGAACTGTAAGCTTAAACCAAACTTATTCTCCATGTTCACGCTCTGTCTGTCAGCATCCTGCCCTTACACCTTCAGTACATGTACCACTGTGCTGCTCTGTGTGCAAAAAACTCGCCTTATAGCCTCCAAATGTAATCCAGAGTTTCTGTCACGCCTTCTCAGTTTTACTCTCTCGCCCACTTTTGGACAGTTCACATAAACACACTCCTACACATGAGCTCTCCACAACATGGGAGAACAACACTCAGACCAAACTTTGTTCTTCTGTACACACTACTCTGCTGGTCAACATGTACATAACAGCTGTAAGTAACACTCCTGTGTATATATGGTTTTTTTTTTAATATCTTTTAACTCCAAAGTTTCTTCACTCTTTAATTTCTCTTTATTGCTGTTGTAAATTTGGAATTTCCCCCTGTGGGACGAATAAAAAAAAGTCTTATCTAATCTTATCTTACTCACTGAGGTCTGAGAAAAGATATCAGATCTACACCTCTGAGATAAGATGACGATGACCATCTCACTGAAATCAAAAACACATAAATTCAGAACATGGATTTGATTTGAAACACTTCAGCAGCCAATCATTCTGCAGTACCAGCCTCACAGAGGCTCAGGACACGTCCGTGTGTGTTTTTATGAGTGTGTAAGTGTGTTGGTCCTTCCTGACAGGTTGATGAAACACTTATATTGGGGTCTGCTCACACACAATGGCTCTCTTTTGATTCCTTTCTTCCTCTTCAAAGGACTGATGGTGTCTGAAAAGTGACATGTACCTGTGAGATCCTCTGGCCTCTCAGTGGCCTCCGACCACATCAGCTGATCCTGTAAAGAGTGTGCTAAGACGTGTATGTGCACTACACTAACCTTGCGTGCAGGAATTACAGAGTCGCATTTATAACAGGCTGAAAACAATAAAAAGTAAATAAAATGAGCTTCACAGATTGACTGTAGGACCTTTTGGTTGTATTTGTGTGCTTGTGTGTGTTTGTCATCCTCTGACTGCAGACACCACAGAGTCTGCAGGTCTATCAGTGTTTATGAGGCAGGCAGGGTGTGGCATTTGGATGTAAATGACGTGGAGGAGACGTTAACAGCACTTCAGAGCGAGCAGTGTTTGTGTCTTTATTTCCTTTTTATTGTCTTACAGATCTTTGATTGCTGCTGCTGGGCTCATGAAAGTGGGGAATCCTTGTAAAAGTTCAGAGACGTGACCCTCGTGACCTCCTCACCTGCTCCATCCTGTCCCTGCTCAGCTCTCTGTCACACTGAAAAGTTGCAAGCTCAGAGTTTCAGCTGCGAGAACCTGAATCCCTGAATCCCTCTCCAGATGATTGTATTGCGATGTCTTTATCTAATATTCATAAAGGAAACTCCAAAAGTAAATGTATGAGCTGCAGAATCATATTTAATGTGCTTAAATTTCATGACCTATCTTATTCAAATATCAAGCTCAAGATGAACCAGAGCTGACATTGAAAAAAAGCATTTACAGCAACAGGCAGGTTTAACCATATGACAGAGTACTACAGCCACACTCAAGATTTATTTTTTAAAGATTTTTTCAAACCATTTTCTTGAGAGAAGAAAGTGAATTTACCCAATGTTTAGCCTCATACTGCCGTTTTGATGGAGAATACCGCTTGTCTCATCTTTCTGCTCAGTCTTGATCCTTATAACAATGTGGATCTGAGGAGACAAATGACGTCACATTTTCAATGTGATGTCATTTTCAGCTCTGACTTCCACGGTAACTCGAATGCAGCATTACAACAGCTGACAACCTCTAACAACAACCAGTAACAGCTAACAAGAGCTGACAATTGTTAACAACAGCTAACAACAGCTAACAGTAGCCGTCAATCTTGGTTTTCCAACTTGTTTACTGGAACGCTACACTTGGTAGTGTAACCATGGCTACAGATTCCAAACAAACATCACAGTAAACATCTCAGTTAATGGAGAAGTTAAAACATTAGCATGCTAACATTAAAAAGTCATTTAAAGTTGAACATTGAACAGGATGTCCACAGCAAGATTGGTAGCCTGCGTATCTGTTCTTACGTATATCAAACTAAATATTTCCTTTCAAGCTTTATCGCTTTAACACCGATCAAAATAAACAAGGCCATAGTTATAATCACTGTTGCATTTATCATGCACAAGCCACTTGGAGATGCTCTGCTGCTCTTGCCTGGATTGCAGGACAAGGGCTATTTAAAAAATCATCCATATCGCTCCATATTTCCATTTGCCGCACTAATCTGCTTTTCTCAGTTAACTGTTAACAAGAGGTTTTGACTAATCATAATTAAGTATTTAATACAGTCAAGCGATTAGTAAGAATTCTGGGTAGTAACTACAAACAATTTCCTTCATTTCAGCTACAAATGCTTTCAGATACAAAGATGTGCATCTCTGTTTATCGATCTCTGACATTTACCTGCTCAGCTGATGTCTATCGTTGTGGAGTTGTGTGCTCCTAAAGCCAATTAAAACCCGTTTACCTGTAAACACTCCCCTGTATGCCAGAAGGAATTAAGCAGGATAATCTGGTTTCACTTATCCCAGATTGATTACTGAAAGCTGATCTGTGTTATTGAAGAAGTCGTTTTACGGCAGAGAGCCAGCTGTGACCTCTAGCGTCTCTGATCATAAAGATTTACTGAGACGGTCATCTAAGTAAAACAGTGCATCAGTTTCAGGAGTTCATTGATCTAATGTGTGTTCTTTGAGTAATGGTGGACAGTTTACAATGATTTGTGTTTACAGCACAGAGTCATT